CTCCCGACGTACCAAGTGGTAATGTTTTCTGCACCAAGACAAAGTACCTATTCACCTGGGCCGCAAACAACCAAACACGTTTCTTAATGACCTGCACCATTGAATGGTCCGGCAAAAGTTGGCTGAAAGGTAAGTTCGTTAATATTCTCGAGTTTATGACCAGCGAACTGATGTGGTTTAGGCCCTATTGAAAAGGGTGCTATTGATGGTCAGGGGACATTTGGGAACGACCTCGTCGGTGCGCTCAGAGCTGCTGTTGCGCCTCGTGCTCGTGCTACCTCTAAGGCAGGAGGTAAAGGGAAAGGACGCCGCAAGAAGGGAGATATTGCCAACGAGGAAGCGGCAGCAGCTGCTGCCCAAGCAGCAAGCCATGCGACCAAGCAACAGGCGCAGACTTGGGGACCTCTGGAACCCATACATGGAGTTTTGGAACCTGTAGTTGGTATTCTTAAGCCCCTGTGGAACGGAAACTTGGCAGTCCTAGTTATCGGCATATTGCTCTTCCTGATATTTTTCCGGGCGCCCTCACAACCGTCAATGTTGTCACACGACATTGGATGTCCTGGCTATTCATTACCCCAGCGACTGGCCGCTTATGAGGAGATGTGGAGAAGAGAGGAGAGCGAGCTGTGGAGTTGGTTGGAGGACCGCGTGGGAATGGACGGTATGGTTTTCCCAACTGTCAACAGGCCAGGCGAGTCACAGGCGCATGAAAGAGCTCGAAAATTCCAGAGCGGGCGTGACTTCATCAACAAGGTAGACGAAGACAAGATGTCAGTGCGCGAGATGGACCACGCTATACGCACCACCCGCGAAAAGCTCGACACTCTTGAAAAGATCTTGGCCAATCGGAAAATGCAAGCGGCGGCAGGGGAGGACAAAATACATTCGGAGTTGTAAGAAGGCGGGTTGCCTGTCGAGTCTACTTTGGAAGATGCAGCCAAGACGCAAGGGGCAACGACAGAAGAACTTTCTATCCTGAACTCTTGTACAGTTGAGTTCAGTATCATTCACTTTACATTTCCTATTTCGATGTTGGGATTTATCGTCTTTGTTTTTCCCAGCGGGTGCTTGGTGTTTGGGTTTCCATATAACTTTGCCCTCCCACATCCAATTATCAGGTCATTTCCGACAAGAATCAGTGATTGATTTGCATACTGCTGAGCGGAGCATTATCTTTCCTTTCTTTGTGTTTCTATATTGGCTTTGGATTTGTTCAGACTAGCTCTCGGGAGAGTTTCTTTGTACATGTACACCCACTCTCTGTTTATACAACAATCTCAAAATAACTTTTCCTTTTGTTTCATTTGGGACTATCTCTGCTCTTGTAGTGTCTTTTCGGATCTTTTTAGATTTGTACGCATGGTCCACTATGCTGTTTGGTCTTGAACGTAGTATACCAGTGCTCCTAACAACAAGATAAGATCTTAGGATGGCCACTGAGTATGCTTATGTCAAGATTATCCCAGCGGCTATTTTCTTGAGCAAACCAAGGTGCGGTATGTATGTTTCCAGTAATACATCGACGGGGCATTGTTTATGCCATCTGGGTGGTTTACGGGAGGTTGTAGAATATAGTAGGACAGGATTTGTCTAGCAAAAGCAACAACTCAAAGCCATTGAAAAGTTCTCAGAAGGTTATCAAGTCTTGTGTATAGTACAGCAGAAAACTCAACAGTGCACAAGAGAGCATTACATTCGTATAAAATATGCCAAAGCTAGATCGCACATCAATAGCATGATAAGCAAAGCAACAAAAAAAAAAAAAAAAAAAAAAAAAAAAAAAAAAACAACAAAAAAAAAAAAAAAAATAGCGTACATCATAAATATATGAACATCGAAGAAAGGAACCAAACTAATGAGATATCATAGAGCAAATTCGGAGTCGTAGTTGTATCTTCGTGTATGATTTAGAAAGAAGAGCTCATGCGGTCGTTAAAGGTTTATGAGATGTTCTCGGAAGGCGAGGTCTTTTCTATGTTCCCTCATAGGGCTTAGGGCGCGAGGAAACTGAGAATCGTGGTTCGTCCTCTTCTTCAATTTTTTGTTGCCGCTTCTTTTTCTTTTTGTTGACCTTCTTCATTGCTTCCCTAGTGAGTTGCTCACGGAACAGCCGTTCCACCACATCCTTCTTCCGGGTCTTTCGGTCGCCGATCATGATTAGGATGCCGCCGGTGATATTGCAAGTAAGTGAACAACAAAGAATGACAGTAGTTAGGGCGAAGGGGCGGTGGTGATAACTGATACCCCACGTGCAGGCGCCGAGCGCAATTTGAAGCATGGAGTGGCAGTCTAATAGGACGACAATGGCGATGAGCATGCGAAGAGGAAAGGCGTGGTGTGTCAGTGTTTCGTGCGGTTTATAGAAGGTATGAGACTTGGACAATTTGGTTTGATGGTGAACTAGCTTTTGTTGCTGCAGAGGGTTCAGCACAGAGAACTCATACTCCTCGTCTTTAGGCGTATCCCCGAATTCAACGTCGACATCGATCTCACGACGAGTGGGTAGATCATTTTTATCTTTTAGATCTGGCAGTTGACGCTTTTGACGGACTTTCCATGTTCGAAAAGTGTAGTGAGCAATAAAACACATGTGGTATGTGTCAATCGCACGGAACGGTGCCAGCCCGTCACCCATAATGGCGAACAAAGCAACAAGAACGTTGTCGATCACGTTGATGATGTATAGCTGCCGCCCACCAACATTAATCCAACCTGGCCACTTGGTTAGTGTACTGCGAAAAAAAGGCCACGAGCCAGGAATAAGAGCCAGGGCCATACCGATCAGGAACAACACCCAAGCCAGACCGAAAAGAGTAATGAGGGTTGCGTATAGAGTGATGAGAAACCCGAGTGCTACAGGGCCAACGGTTAGTAAGCGGTTCAGCGCTGCAGCTGATCAGTACATACGTTTAGAAACATATTTCCCAAAGCCCTTCATCGCCCGCTTGAACTTCGAACGACGAGAATGCAACATGTGCCGGACATGATCGTTCAATTCTTCTATGTCTCTCGCAGACCAGCCCTCAAGATTGCTTCCTTCAGGTAACACGGCAAATTGTGGATCTTGTTTTCCCAACACTGCCGATAGACTCGTCAGAGGTCGTTCTAGTGACGGACGGCCTTCGGGCGATTTCTCAAATGCTTCCTCGCCCTCTTCTGTTTCCGTCGATTCCTCCCCGGTCGACTCCGAGGACTCTGAGGACTCTCTCGGTGGCGAAAGTGCATAGGTCGGGTTACGATTGATTAGCGGGCCCAGGTTGGGCACAAACAAGGAGTTTTGGACGTTTGTCAGGGTCGACAGTGCTGAAACTTCCGGGTCTGGCGAATGTTAGGGCATGTTACCACAGATGTTTGATTCGGAGCATACCAATAACGTCCAAGACATCCACCACGTGGGGATGGTATTCATTGTCCGCGGTGTCAGCCTCTGATGGAGGAACAGCCCCGCTCGAGGCGCGGTTGCGCGAGAACCGGTTCATAGCTGCTTCACTCGTCCAACGCAGAAGACCCAGACTTCCTCGCCTTTGCACCCGGGCTGGGGGCTCTAAGGGATGTACTTCGGCAAACGGCCGATTCGCAGGAGTTAAATGGATTGGACTTGTATTTGTCGGCTCTTCCATCAAGGTATGCATTTGGTCTGGAGGGAGCCGGGGCAGGGCGGATGGATTGGGAGCAGACCACCTCCCCGGCCGCGGCTCGGAACTGCTGCGGCGACGATTTCCCTGCCATGCGTCCTCATCTGCGCCTTTGACGGCAGGCGGCGAGGTGACATTGATGCTTGAAGCATTACGAGGGTCCCGAGAGACACTCGGCTGGATTTGGGGGATGGCATTGTCCAACGAGGGTAGACGCTGAAGGCGGATGGTAGGGCGGCGAGACCGGAGCGACGTCGCACGTTGTCGCCGCTGCAATGACGTCGGTTGAGTCGTGGAGGGTGGCCTTGGAGCTTCTGCAGGAGGACCATCAGAACCGTCGACAGGCTCTATATGATCCATTGCGAGAAGAACCCACTCTCAGCTGGGGGTGGGGGAATGAGATCAGTCAAACGAGTGAAAGTGGCACAGTTCAGTTAAAATATACGGAGAGAAAAAGTGGAAAACGAAAGGGAAAGAGGAGGAGAAGAAGGGTCCAATGTGAACTCTATTGCTATTGCTTGAGTAAGCGCGCCAAGCCGTGGACTTGACTAACCTTATTCTGCTCGGCGTCTTGGTTGGCTCACAACTCACTCCAACCCCGTCGGCAGTTCTGGGCCTCCGTACGCTCTATCAAAAAAGGTGGAGACAGGAGAGAGACGCACCGCAATAAATAACCCGGTCCTTCACAAAGACCTCAATCACAGTCATTTCAATAGAAAAACAGTCATACATCAATAAAGAATGTTGCTTTGTGGTAGACGAGTCATCAGACAAAGCGCCAGGTGTCATGGTTACCTGATACATCTTGTCTGCCTGGGCCAGAGACCTTCAGACCAACCGAACACAACTCCCACCTGAAGGTGTCAGAATAGAGTATGGATTAGATATTGAGTGCCTCCACTATTCTAGACTGAGCTGCCATTGATCGACATGGCCAATGTCTTTGTTCAGAGAACAATAAACATGTCACCAGAAATCGACATTCACTGCTATTCATCGCATCTTACAACCCTAATTGGCTCTCGTGTTCTAACCTCACAACTATATGATTCTCTCTTCAGTCATCCTCTTAATTTTCACCTTCATCCATAAAGCTCTCACTATATCTTCAGAAACAAGACATCTGACCAGTACGCTAAGACTACCAAGTTTCAGCAAGGTAGACAGACAGGCAGGATAACGGTGAGTGTACAACCACTGCTGGGAAACTCACTAGTTGAAGGGCACCAAGAGTATATGAAATGTTGGCTCTTCTGCAACATAGTTGATACTGACAGGATTACGATTTTACCAGCGAGACTGACTGACCATCCTTGCATGTTGCGAAATTCTTCTCTTGTGTCAACGCGAACCTCTTGGGAAATGGCTACGAAGCGACCTGCCTCGCCGGATGTGCGCTCCGACCAGCCCACAAAGAAAGTAAAAGTCATGCACGAGAACCAGGAGTGGATCCTCGACGAGGAAGAAATTCCTACCACCCCGTCTTCCCCACTGTCTCCCAGCGAGACCAACGATAGCTCTGCCGATGTAGAAACCTTGTCTGAATCCTCTGGTACGGACTCGGTCAAACCGTCTCCTTATACCGACGAGTTCTTTGCAGATATGGCCAATATCATTGCGAATATCTTTCCTTTTGAAGCGTTTGCCAAAGCCCATGGCTGCACAGTTGGCGACGTTTCACAAGCGATTAGTGCCATGGTTGTTGCTCCTCTGTCTGACCCATCCTTCACCTGGCACAGTGATAGTGAGATCTCTATCGCTGAATATGGACGAGGCATGATCAGTATCTGGAACGAGCATTACGAGCGCAAGCTTCGAAACACTGATACGACGAAGTTAAATATCGATCTATCAACCCCCAAAGGCTCCACGAGCTCTTCGGGAATTGAGACACCCTCGGAAGATGGGAGTGTCTTGTCAGAAAGCTTCAATAAAGCACTACTTGGAGAAACGCCGTCCGAAGATGAAGTGGAGCCCCCAGATAGCGAGGCACCGGGTCTATCAAAGAAGAGTTGTCTCAGCACACAGTCACAGAAAGCAGCGCGACGACCGGCCAAGAGGGTGAGATGGGCCCCTCCCCTCTCGCCGGTCGTCCGCGAGAAGGTGTACAAGGACGACTATGGCAACTATGTCCCGGTCCCGACACCAGAAAAGATCAAGGAGAAGGGGCGGAAAAAATTGCGAGAAGAAGTGCGGGCGAGCAAAGGGCTGCTTGAACGGCCCGAACCAACGTATAGTGCATTCGACCTAGAGGTCCTTTCGAATTTTGACGACCTGGAATATGTGGTGTAGCCTGCACTCTGTACAATGATAATCCTAGGTCTTTCTTCTTCCTTATTTTTATTTATGTATTTTTCTTTCTTGCTTTCCCTTACTTGCTTTGTTGTTTATTGTTGTTTGCCAATAAGCGGGAACGCCGCCATAGCGTCAGGATTGACGTAGCTGCGGGCCTCTTGATCTGCGGTACATACGACTGATGTCGATTGAAGAATGGGGTACATTGTGTCTTTCAGGCATTCAGTTTGATCTTTTTTATTTAATATTTTTTTAGAATAATTAACAGAGATACTGGTGATTGATCCTTTCATAAATACTATGCAATTAGTTCTTTGAGTTTCCCATGCAATTGAGTTACCGATATGCAGGATGTGTGAGGGGGATTTGGTTGATCTCACATGACATTGCGTTTAGTAAGCTCTCAATTGGACCAAATTGAACCACATCCCAAATTCCAAGATTGTTGTGTGCTCCACCGGGTGATGGAGTACGAGAAAGGATCTCCTATCCACTCAAGATGGCCGAGGAGAGAGAGCGTGGAGAACCTATGACGGGATCTGACCAGATATATGGTGGCAAGTGGAGAACCCGGTGCTGGAAGATACGATGTGTTTTTGGTGATCTGGAATGTTCCCCCCAAGGAGGGGTAGAGTCCAGGGTGTGAATTGGGCGGTCAGAATGATCCCACCAGAAGAATGGGAGGGAACAATAAGAGAATTCCCATTGTATGGACATGTACCAGTAGGGGATGGGGATAAGAAAAGATGGGGGTAGGAGGGCGATTTCCAGGTCATGTGCCCATCATGAGATCAATGAGTCAGATGTGTTGTTTTTTCTTTTTTTGGGTTTGTTGCAGGAAATCTGCTAAAATAACGGGCGGTGATGTCAGATGTGAGCGCTAAGCGCGACCCTAGCCCGTAGTGGGCGAAGGTGCCTGAAGACTGGCCAGACCGCCGCCTTCCAATCCCGTAGCTCCGTTGGGTGTCGAAGTGACTAACGACACGTCGTGATTACCGCTAGCATCGTCAACCTGAGGCCACCACCTACCCGTCCTGGCTTAGCGTGCCACCCTCGCTGCCTGCCCTTTTTCTCTCTCCTTCTCCTTTCTGCCCCGTCGACTTCATCCTTCCTCTCAAGGCAAATCTCCATCGTGATCAACTAAGGATTTCCCCCGTCAACCACACGTATCTAGGGCACCAAGCTACCCTTTTCCTCCTCCCCCCTCTTCAAGTTACTCCCACCCATCCATTCCAAGGAGTTTCAAGTACAGGCAGCCTTTAGCTACCCTGAGTCCTTGACAACACACAACCGGTCAGGTTTCCTCGCGATTTACACCAAGTATCTTCAACTCTCGACCTTGTGATCTCAGCCATCAAGATGTCTACTGCCGTCGAAAACCACGCCGACAACCAGGCCGCTACCGCTCCCGCCGCCGCCGCCGCCGCCACCACTGAGGCTACTACCAACGGCACTGCCCCTGCCGCCCCGGCGCAGTCCACCGATGCTGCTGCGGCCAGTGCTGATGAGGGACGTCGGCTGTACATTGGGAATCTCGCTTATGCGACCACTGAGGGGGAGCTCAAGGAGTTCTTCAAGAACTACAAGGTGTAAGTCTTGCACGTTGAGTTCCCCATCACCTTGTTTGTCAAGGTGTTGCTTTGTTTGGACATAAGGTTTCTTGGCCTGCCAGTATTAGTTGCAAGCCAAGGAGATCATCAATCCATCCCGCTTCCGTAGTTCCCAACTACTACAGGAGTATTCTCAGTTTCTTCTGTGAAGGGCTTGCCATGCCTCAATTGCATGCTCACCACTGAAGAAGCGCCGTCCAGCCGTGCCCTGCATTTCTAAAAATGACATAAGCTAGATGCTAACACAGATTTATTACAGTGAAAGTGTCTCCATCCCTGTGAACCCTCGTACCAACCGCCCTGTTGGATACGCCTTCGTGGATCTTGCTACTGCCAACGAGGCTACCTCTGCTATTGGTGAACTCTCTGGAAAGGAGATTCTCCAGCGCAAGGTTTCTGTTCAGCTGGCCCACAAGCCTGAGCCTGCCGAGGCCAAGGCCGAGGGTGCCGTAAGTGGCGGTGAGGGTGCCAGTGGCAATGAGGGCCGCAGGAGGACCGGAGGTCGTGGCCGTGGCCGTGGCCGCGGTCGCGGTCGTGGAGGTCGCCTCGGCCGTGGAGGCCGTGCTGTAAGTTTTCCAGTATTAGATGAACGCTAGACTCCTGGGATACTAACATCTTCCATAGCAGAACCAGCCCCAAAATGGCCAGGCTGCTGCTCCCGCTGAGCCTACCGACGTCCCCAGTCAGGCCGCTCCTCTGACTGAGACCACCAACCAGGCTGAAGCCGCTGCTACCTCTGACTCTGGTAAGCAGGCTGCTAAGCCTCGTCCCCGCCCTCAGAAGCAGCGCGGCCCCCCTGAGGATGGAATCCCTTCTAAGACCAAGGTTATGGTTGCCAACCTTCCTTATGATCTGAGTGAGGACAAGGTGTGTATATTTCTTGTTAGCGTTTGAATTTTAGTCGCTAAACCTTCCTACAGCTCAAGGAGATCTTCGCCGCCTACTCGCCCGTTTCCGCTAAGATCGCCCTGCGTCCTATTCCCCGCTTTATGATCAAGAAGCTCCAGGCCCGCAACGAGCGCCGCAAGGGCCGTGGCTTTGGCTTCGTCACTCTCGGCTCCGAGGAGCTCCAGGAGAAGGCTGTGAAGGAGATGAATGGCAAGGAGATCGAGGGCCGTGAGATTGCCGTCAAGGTCGCCATCGACAGCCCCGGCAAGGAAGACGATGTTGTTGCCACTCCCGCTACCGACGCCGAGAAGACTGAGCAGGCAACCGAAGCTCCAGCGCAGGAGAACGCTGCCCCGGCTGCTGCTTAAATGACAAGTCGTTCTCAACCAGAACGAATCAAAGATCTCGACATGCCCACTCTATAGTCGGGATTTGTTGGAGGAAGAGAAAGGACCTTCGTGCGGATGATAACTTCATACTCTGCCGTCGAGGAGCGTTTTCACAAAAGTCAAAAAAAGGTAAAAAAGACAACGAGGCCAACTACAAAACGCAAAAGTTATCCAAATATTATTCCCGTTCGAATCGGTCACAGGGGACGAATTTACCATGAGGATGAGGCATTGATTATTTCCTATGTTTTTTTGCGCACGAACTGCCGCGAGGCAATCGTGTGACTGGAGCGACGAGAGACACCGTAATGTGTGGTTTTCACGGAGACGTGACCTTTTGCTAACGACTATTGCCCTTCTGCTATCCTGTATCTTAGCAACCATTTAGTTTATGATTGATTAGCCGCAAGGCTGGCCTTGTAGTGATTGTTTCCTGGTGCCCTCCATGACTGATTAATCTGTCCCGCGTAGACAATTTAAGAGTTCATATGAGCCTGAAGATATATTCTTATTTCCTTTTAAGTTAAGCGTATCAGCACAAGGCTGCAAGACGAATGCAGTCATACTCAGGTATCCATTGGACTCCACAGGTGCCATAGGAACAGCGCGCGAAAGTGGAACTCTGCAGTGATCTCCCTATTTGAGGTCAATTAAGCCTGATTTTCCCCTCTTGGCGCCTCAATTAACTGCCAAAACCACATCACCACCCTGACACTTGAGCTTTTGGTAACCTGGGCCTTTCTCTGTTCTCTAACCTTAGCGAGAGGGAGCGACGAAGACACTGCTATCAAACCGACTGCGAACTCGCATACTTCTGTGTACTCGGTGCGGAGAAAGAAAGCCCGGCATACTAACCGCAGAGAGGGGCGCTCCAGCCGATTCCACCTCCACACTGCCTAACCCTCGCGCCACCACAATACCACTTAGGCACTTGGGGTTGAGATCAATTATCCTTCCTCGTTATATCCCTTATTTTCCCGTTTGACTGAATCAACATATTTTACTATCCATCATGTCGAAAATGTGGGAGGTAGACCCGGAGACGAAGGCGAAGGTATGCTATCTCAATCATTACCCTGTAAACGGCCAGGGTCATGGAACTAGATCTGTCTAATCTGTGTGATGATGTGTCCAGCTCCTCCAAATCTCCAAAACCAACGGAAACGATAAATGCTGCGACTGCGGCGCGCCATCGCCTCAATGGGTTTGTCTCCTACAACTCATTTCCGTCTATACCTACACCTGCACCTCAAACAGCCACCTCTTGTCATAACCTTCACTAATATGTCTCGGTCATTTTTTCTTGTTTCTACCAGGCCTCCCCTAAATTCGGAATATTCATCTGTCTCAATTGCGCAGGCACTCACCGCGGCCTGGGCGTCCACATCTCCTTCGTGCGATCGATCACCATGGACGCCTTCAAGATCGCCGAGATCCAACGTATGGAGCTCGGTGGCAACGAACCATGGAAGTCATTCTTCGATGACCACATCGTCACTCAGTCCGAAGGCCGTACATTCGAAGACTCCACCATTAAAGAGCGCTACGAAGGCGAAGTAGGCGAGGAATGGAAAGAGAGACTCTCCGCCAAAGTCGAGGGGCGAGAATACGTTCCGGGACAGAAACCACCACCCCAGCCAAAGAAGCAACCCACCGTTGAACTCGCATCTTCGCGATCAAGCACACCGTTGGGTCGCGCCTCTCCTGCGTCGCATGATGGATTCGGAGGTATGGATGGTGGACGGAAAGAGCGTAACGAGGCATACTTTGCGAAAATGGGCTTGGAAAATGCCACGCGACCGGATTCCGTTCCACCATCGCAGGGCGGAAAGTTCACTGGGTTTGGTGGCGGTCTGCCCGTTTCATCGGGACCGTCGAGAAATACATCCGGAGGAAATATTCCCGGGTTTGACGATTTTCAGAAAGATCCTATGGCTGCATTGACTAAAGGGTTCGGCTGGTTTACGTCTACCGTAGGAAAAAGTGCGAAGACTGTGAACGACTCATATATTCAGCCTACCGCTAAATCGGTATGCGCTTATCCTCCAAGATTCCCCCTTTTTTCCATGGCTCCAAACTAACATGCACCCTTTTCCAGATAGCGGAATCCGACTTCGCAGCCCAAGCCCGCCAACATGCCACCCAACTTGGCCAAACTGTCCAAGTCGGCGCCCGCGGTGCGGCTGGTCACTTTCAGCGATTCGTAGAGGGCCCAGACGAGAACAACGCCGGTCGTCGTCGCGCCGAACCCGAACGTAAGGATTTCTGGGACGACTTCTCCACTCTCGCACAAGAGGACAGTCACCGCAGAAATGCCTCCCGCTCCAGCGCCATCGGAACTGCAGCCATGAAACCTGGCCCTACCCCTAGTCCCAGCGCCGCGACAGGCAATGCACCATCAACGACCGCGAAGGAAAAGGATGAGTGGGACAATGATTGGTGACTTACTTTTGGAGTTGTAGAATACATGACTGAAGCGTAGTGCATTTAGTGTTTTGTCGCGTTTCTTCTTCGATTGCCGGGCAATGGTTATATATATCTTTTCTTTGGGATCGCTCGGGCCCCGTGCTTTTGCGTGTTTTAGATGCGATGACAGTGTTCACTTGCCGTTCATTTGGATATAGTTCTAGGTGAGCTGGTTTATATTCTTGTTTGACGAGGTCTGGTTATTAGCATACCTCATTTAGATCGTTGCTTAGATTGCATAGATGCTAGCGAGGAACCTAGTTCAGCAGGCTGGATCCACTATCCATTCCATGACGCTCGGACACCAGATTGCAAAACGATCTAGTACTACTACTATACATGTATCCCATTATATTTTGTTCTTACATAAATGACTTCCTGAACACCAATCCAGAGCAGAGAAACAGTATGGTACGGTACTGTGCAATGCTACAAAAGCCAAATCACGACTTAGAGAAAGCCGCCTCTCAGCTCGGTAAGTACGGCCTTCTGTCTCGGCGCACTCATCTTCTCGAACCGATCGACGCTCATGACGAACGTGCCGCGTCCTGCGCTGAGACTGCGCAGGTGTTTGAGATACCCGACCATTTCCTTGAGGGGCACCTTTGCCGTGATCGTTCGGGCTGTGTTCACTGAGGCAGGGAGATCGATTCCCACAGTGGACGATTGGAAGGGATCAGGCGGGGCGTAGACCTTGTTCGGGTCGATCGGGGGAAGGAGGTCGTCTGTTGGGTTTGAGACGATGTCCGTCGCTGGGGAGGGTGCTTCCTCGTCCAGCGAGATGATGTGGCCGCCGCGGGATGAAGAGATGTCGTGCACGACGGCGCCGAGACTGGCTTCGTCGACGCTGATGATCACGTTCATGACGGGTTCCATTAGGGATGTGCCCGCTGCGGAGGGGAGGTCCCGGAGGGCGGAGGAGGTTGCGAGACGCGCTGCGGCGGAGAGCGCGGAGGGGGTGGAGTCGTTGCCGAAGAGGTGTTCGGCTGGGTCGAAGGTGAGGGTGACGCGGGTGCCGTGCATGGGGAAGGTGAATTGAGGACCGCGGGCTAGTGCCGCGAGACAGCCGTTTTGGAGAGCTGTGCGGAGGGCGTGGACGTCCAGGCCTGGGGGTAGGAGTGAACTCTCCTCGGTGCCCTTTTTGTTCACTTCGACTTGGAGGCCCGGCGCTTGGATGATGATTTGGTTGCCGTCTGCGGTCTGGATGGAGAGTGCCGATGGGTCGGGTTCCGAGGTGGTGTCTTCGGGGTCGAAGGGCTCGACAGTTGCGGTGCAGCCGGCTTTGCCTTTTCGGCCGGCGATTTCTTTGTCGAAGATCTTGGTTACCGGGCCCGAGGCGCCGAGGGGGCATTCGCGGTAGCCGATTTCGATGCGGCCCATAGATGCTTTGGCTTTGAGGTCGTTGAGGAGGCGGTCTCGCGCGATTTCGAGGTGCAGTTCGCCCATGCCGCTGAGAAGGGTTTGGCCGGAGTCTTCGTCGACGGTGACGTGCAGGCTGGGATCCTCGCGGAGGAGCATCGCGAGAGATTCTTGAAGTCGCTTCTCCTCGCTTAGGCTGTGGGGTTCGACGCTGGCAAAGAAGACGGGGGGTGGGACGTTGATTGGACGGAGTTGGAGGGTGGTGAGAGGTTCGGGGGGTGTGGCTTTGTTGCCGGAGTAGGTGACTAGGGTATCTCCCGTTCGGGTGTGTTTGAGGCCAGCTACGACTCCGATGTGACCTTCGGGGATGGAGTCGACCTCGACGGCGTCATTCGCATACATCTTCAGCAGACGAGGTGCTCTCTCTGACACATTCAGGTTGGTGTTGTACAGGACGCTGTTTCGGTCGAGAGAGCCGGAATAGACGCGGACGTACACTAGAACACCGCGCTTGGGGTCATTGACGACCTTGAAAGCTAAGGCGCAGCCTTGGAGCTTTTCAATGGCGTGGCGGGACTCTGCTTGAATGGCCGACTTCTTCTTATGCTTGCCCTTGGCAGAAGCTGCCTTCTCGCCTTGCTCGACTAGGAGATCGCCGGAAAGCAGGCGCCGGAGGCCACCCTTAACTCCGCCAATGCTGACCTCTGGTTCGGGGGTCTCGGGGGGGCTAGGGAGTAGATTCGTCACAGCATCAAGTAGAGGCTGGACACCAATATTTCGAAAGCTAGCACCAGCGAAGATGGGGATGATTTTCCTTCCCTGCTCCTCCAGGAGGCATCTACGCAGACTCTCGAGAATGTCATTCGCGGGGACTGCCAAATGGTCCTCCTCACAGTCGAAGAACTTCTCCACCATGGCTTCATCATGCTCACTCAGCAGTTCGACGAGGGCAATCCTCGCGCGCTTGAGCTCCTGTGCAAGCTGAGGTTCTTCGCTAGCCAGCTGTTCAAGGTTGAACATCTTGACAGACTTGCCGTCTCCTTCCTCCCAGCGAAGGCCTTGGAGATTGATAGCGTCGGCAATACCGACAAAACGTCCGTTTCCTCCTTCGAACCAGGGAATCTGACAGACAGCAGGCCATCCGCCCAACCGGGAGGCAACCTCTCGGACCGTCCGGCCAAAGGCAGCCCCATCTCTATCAAGCTTGTTCACGTAAACAATTCGGGGAATCCGGTAGGTACTTGCTTGGTGCCAGACTTTCTCTGTTTGAGCCTCGACGCCGGCCACACCGTCTAGAATGCATACCGCGCCATCTAGAATGCGCAAGGATCGCATGACTTCGAACGTGAAGTCCGCGTGTCCAGGGGTGTCAATGAGGTTTACGGTATGAGACGAGGCAGACCTTGGCGTCTGTGGTTCCTGTGGAATTGTATTTCCATCACCGGCCGTTTGAGGTGGCCAATGGAAAGTAATAGCGGCAGATTGAATTGTAATTCCTCGAGCACGCTCAGCAGGAAGGAAGTCGGTGACTGTGGAGCCTTCGTCCACGTCTCCTATCCTTCTTGTAAACCCGCTGTAATAGAGCATACGCTCCGTAGTAGTAGTCTTGCCAGCATCGATGTGGGCGATGATACCGATGTTTCTGGTTCGGTCGAGGACATCTGCTTGCCATTTGGAAGTGGAAGTTGAGAACCCACTACCCCGAAGCAGGTGTAACCTTCCGGCACTTTTGATTACATGTGGATTGAGCCCGAGCCGGCTGATAGACGCTGATTGGAGTCGCGCAGCTTGGTGAGCGCGCAAGAGAGGAGCCGCGACCATGATCGCAATTGGCCCTGTAACATCTGATGATTGAGTGGTACAGTTTATCCGCTTGTATGCATGTTATATTACAAGCAAGCAGCTAATAAGTGGGGCCCTTCAGGGAGGGTTTGCGTCGGTACAGCTCGAAAAGTGAAGTTCTCCAAATGTCGGATGTCACTGATGTGGATGCCTGGCCAATCAGGTGTCGGCGGCCGCAACGACGTAACGTTTCGGCTTGTCTGTCTCTTCGGGTTGACATTCCTTCTGCCTCCCACTCCACAATCCCGCATCCTTAATTTGCCCTTCACAGTACCCTGCGGCTCTCAATTGTTTTCTGAGGGGATCCAGGTACGTGCCATCAATTAGCCGCAATAGCTTCATGAAAATGCATTGCTAATATTTGTGTGCCTGCGATGCAGACGTGGTCCGTCGGAGCCATACTACTACTTACTCTCCCCAGCAAAGCCAGACAGCCATGGACTACTCCGCTATATCGCATGACCCCGACCACCCCGCGGGTACCTCGCCTTGGGCTTCTCCCCGACCTACCCAAACTACGTTCCCTACCTCGAGTATCAACGACATTCCTTCCGATCCGTTAGCTCCCCCTCAGCCTCCGTACGATGCCGCTTCCCAGCCCGAAAGTTCTCTGCCTCCCGGGGAGGAGCAGACCGAGTCACCCGACCTCTCGGAGCGACTACAGAGCGCACAGCTAGGCGACCCAGATTACCATAATGAACAATCACAGTATGCCGCGCAACAGCAACAATATGCCCAGCAACCTCGGTCTCAGCTCCCCGCTAGGTATCAAACCGGGGCCAGACAGCATGCCAGGCCAGCTCCTCTATACAAAGTTCAGGCGAAGATTACAAGCTTAGAGAGGACGGGCAAAAAGGATCCCATTTTGCGTTTCGATGTTCACGTGAGCAAGCTCCTTATACCAATGGCTGTCCACCGTCATCGCAACTAACCCCCCTACGCACAGACCAACATCCCCAAATTCAGAACCACTCAATATCGCGATGTCCGCCGTACCCATGCAGAGTTTACGAAGCTCGCCGAGCATTTGATGTCGGCGAACCCCGAGGCGATGGTTCCTGCGGTGCCTCCTCCATTGACCCCCGCCGGCGCAGGAACTGAGGAGGATGAGATTCGCGTGAAGGCGTCCATGCAGAAATGGTTGAACACTGTCTTGGGTAACGAGGTTCTGATGCAGGATGACGAGGTCGTTCTATTCGTTGAGAGTGATTTCGGCTATAGTCCGGTTGTTCGGATGAAGCAGCCTGCGACGGGTATGCGGAGAAAGGTTTTGAAGCAGTTCGCGCCTCCCCCGGATGATACGCCAGAGCTACAGAATGCGCGACCCGTGGTGAAGATGTTCTATCTAGGGAGCATGGATGCTAGTCACAAGGTTGACCGTGTAGTCAAGGGCCGACGAGGTATGTGAGCGCGAGCGCTGTGGTGCAATAACGCCAGCTAATCAAATGCTGTAGGACTCGGCCTTGCCGAATCAGACTTTGGCGTAAAGCTGGGGCAGATGCATGTGCAAGAGACGCACCCAGGCCTGGCCAATGCTTACCGGAAATTGGGAAAGGTCATTCAGACAGTCGGGGATTATCACGCAGTCCAGGCTACCGCAGAGGCCACCACCCTCGGGGAGCCGTTGAACTATCACTCATCCGACGCTTTCATCGTGAAGGAGACCCTTACTAACCGTCATATTTTGCTTCGGGATTTGATTCAAGCTCAACAAGTTACCCGCAGCAAACGCGCAGCTGCAGACCGGGTGAAAGTCAGCTCTTCTGTTCGTAAAGATAAAGTCGATGAGGCAATCAATGCTCTAGATGAAGCCCAGAGCCATGAAGACTACCTCACAAAGAGGACACACCGGGTGACATCGAACCTACTTCAGGAGAAGCGCCGCTGGTTCGACCGGACCACGAACGACCTCTTGGCCAGCCTACGTGAGTACACCCTGCGTCAGATTGACGCCGAACGTCGCACCCTTGCAACTCTGGAGAGTGTTCGTCCAGATATCCGGGCGATTGATTCATCTGGTGGACTGAGTCGACTGGGCCGTGAATCACACCCGACTGTGCGGCGGCCAAACCTTGGCTCAAGCCAGGGGCCCAAGGGCGACGCGTGGAGCGGCATCCCTCGTCGCAGCGAAGGCCTTGGGCGCAGCATGAGTGGCAGCATGATCTCGCCTACTTCGGAGGTCGATGAAGAGGTGAATGGGCAGGGCAAGGGAAGGGTGCGCTCTCCCAGTGGCGTCAGCACTACTGTCGAGGAAGATGATGAGGATCGACTGGATGCTCGCAATGCGGCGAGCCGGTTAGCTACCAGCACCTTCTGAACTTCTCCTGTAAATTACGGATATTCATGACTGTGAGATTCCCCGGTGACCGCCGTACCTTTTTCCAATGATCAACCTGTTGAGTCCGGGACGAAGATGGTTTCAGTCTCAAATTGTGTTAGATGATGTTCGATATGCTTTCTCCCTTACTGTCGTTGTATTGCGCTCGAGATTCCTCTCGGATCTGATTATGATGTTCTACCGTGTCTGTGACCTGCGTAGTGGATGAATCATGTGATAAGCAAATAGGTATATACACTCAAAACATGCCCTAATCAGCCCAAACTCCATGTATCCATACTATCCAACAACTCCACGCCCAGCAATGTCAACGCCTTCCCCGATTAGCTCCATCACTAAACCTCACAAACCCATCATTCGGCAACTGAAACCACGCCGCCTTCTCCTTCACAAAGAAATGCGCACAGGGCTTCGGAACCACCCTGTCGAAATCATCGATGGTGCCCGCGGCGATGTACAGTCCCCCCGGCTCCGAGTCATACACCATACTGACACTCGATCCACACTGGGGACAGAACCCACGCGTAGCGAAATCGCTAGATCGCCGCTGTGTCGGTGCCTCGTGGGTCCAAGTGATGCTCGTCGCAGAAAAGAATGCCCAGGTTTGGTAGGGTCCGCCGGATTGTTTGCGGCAGGTTATGCAATGGCAGTTTGTTAGTTTCGTGGGCAGGGCGCTCGCCGTGTAGGTTATGTGCTCGCAGGCGCAGGTGCCAGTCAAAGTGGTGGCCTCCATTTTTTTTTTTTTTTAACCCCTGGTTGTCCAACCTGGGACTTGTTTCTTTCCTTTTGATCTTTTTTTGTTGTCTTTGTAAGCGCTTGAGCTGAATTAAGTAGTGGTACAAATATTTAGTGAGGACTTCTGAGAGGATGAGGTCGGGGGTGGGCAACTCGTATAAATTCTTTGTGCTGAAGGGTTTTGCTGGGCTATTGTCCTGGGGTCTTGGGTCGAGAGCCCATTGTTGTAAAGGAATCTCTACTGATGACAATAGTAAGAGGTTGAACTGATATATATTGAGGTTTGGGGCGCAACTTGGAGGGTTCCATACTCATCTTGCTTCTCTTGATTGGCTGCTACGGATTGATCTATGAAATAGTGTATAACTGAATTGTTTTTCTGCGAGTTCCGCCCAGTTACCCGATATGGGTGCCGCCGCTTTTATGAGGGCAGTACGTGAGTGCTCCGAGAATGCTCTGAGTCATTCACTGATTGCTCACGGAGTATGCACTAGACGCTCCAGTCGCTCCCGGATACAATCTAGCAAGCTTAGTAAGTTATCCGGGAGTAGTTTCTCCTTGCTCTGTATTATACCTCACGTGACTATAACAAGGCCTCTAAAGCGTGTACAGACTAAAGCTTGCCAATCTATACATATCCCATCAGTTTCGTGAGGGCGTCATGAAGACAAGGGCCGAGTAATTTAATTTAATCACTAAATACAATGATCATTCGGAGTATACTTTCCGGTCAGATTAGAAGAAGTGAAAAGAAGTCATTCCTTTTGTAGGTCTACTTTAGAGGCTTTTTACCCTAATTCTAAATATAAATATAGTATACACGCCTTGATTCTTCTTACTTTTATCCTCACTCTTAAGATCTTATCTTATATATATCTTCTATTATATTACCTTCGTGATTTCAGCGTTCAAATAGCGACCTACGTTAATTTCAATATTCAAAGATAGTTAAATGTTCCGACTCGTGGAAGGCCACCCAGCTTAAAAAGAAAAGAAAAGCTCGCTGTGAACTTCGTTGACAGTGGGGATACAATGCAAACGCCTATAAGTAAAAAGATACTGAATGAACAAGAGATAGAGCATTAATAAAGACAAAAGAGAGATATAAACAAAGGGTGCGCAAGTATAAAAAGTACGTCTCTATGTCTTTTTAATATAAGTCTCTCTACTCACCCTTATCTATTAAATTTCTTGTCGAAAAAAAGAATATGTCTAAAGGCTATACAGTTGGAGAGAGGCATCCAGCTTCGATACTTAAGGAATTCAAGGAGTTTATCCACTAGCTTATTAAGTTTATAAAGGGTAAACTTACTCTTAATAAACGACCAACTATATATATAATTTTAGTCCATACCCAAGAGTTCGTTCCCGGATTCTTCCTTAAAATTAGAAATAAAATCTCTTCTTATAACCGAAGCGATCTCTACCACATAAATATATTTTTCTCCATAGAATAAATAAGTTTTTGACCCTTTTAGTAAATTAAATATAAGTTAGTCGAAGAGAAAGTACTCTTAGTAATTAAAAAACCAAAGTATAATTTTAAATTAAGAGATTTTGAGCGCGCTATTATTGTATTTTAAGTAATTAATAATCTATTCTTTATGTTTAGGAGATATCGTGTCCAGTTTCATTTTATCACTCTTTAATTTCTATGTACAGGTGCTAGAGTGTCTTCTTTTATACCTGTATTAATTGACAAAGTTAGACGAGAGTTATATTATAAGGTAAGATTAATAACATAAACTGATTATATTATTTAGGCGCTAACATTAGCTAGAACATTGAACTTATTTTATTTCATGCTATTAATATTTTTTAGAGGATTGGATAGCGGCTTGACTAGCAATTTGTCAAAAATAATAAAGACCCTGAAAATATAATATATATAGCTTAGTATCTCTCTGGTTAACTTTGGACTATAAATATATTTGGATATTGATATCGAAAATTATTAAATTTAGCACTGCTATCTGGGACTGTGACGAGCCCATTTATTCTAAAGTATTTTATCTTCTAGCTCTTGCCCTTGCAGACAATGCGCTCTATAGTTTCATATCTCTTGAAAAAATTTTCGAGCAAAGAATCCCTGAGGGGCAGGATGAGCTGATTCTTAGATAGAATAAAGAAGCCAAAGATCAATGCATTGTCAGAAAATCTACAGCGGTAGGGATTAGTAAGGATCCTTTAATAAAAGAAACGTATACGGCCGATTTTTGGAAGATCCTTGCAAATACTTGTTACTTTGTAACTACCACAGTTCACACGATGCGACGAGCTCTAAAAGCAGCTATTAAAGATCAGTGGTTATTCTATTTTTCTTTTAACTTATTTCCGTATTGCTAAGATTTTCTATAGATAAATACTTATTAGCTTACGTAGCGCAGATCTTTACACAGAAGTCCAAAGCTGTCTATGGCAACGACTATCTCGTTAACTGTTCTAGTGTGGACGTGTTCAATGCTTTGATAGATAAACCAGCCAATAATACTTACATTGACTATTTTCAGGGATACGGTCAATTCCACAAACACGGCCTACCACGACAATTGTCTATAGAGAAGGAATAGAAGATTGATACAGATCCACAGCTGGTTACCAAAGTTATAGAAATCCGCAATGCAAAGTTTGACAACAATATCAAGCGCCTGAAGCGTAATTACAATATCTTAAAAAGAAAGATCTATACTAGTATATATTAGCAGTTCCAAAGTGAATAGATTCAGAACCAGCGCGATTGGAAAATATTAACCAGAGGCCAAGAATGCCCCAATTTCGTGGAGTAAACTGCAGAAAAACAGGCTTAATACAAAGTTATGCCTAAATTAGATTGTCTAGCGGCTATCATATCATCTAATGTACCTCTTTCATTTGACAAAAAGGCTATTATTGTGAGGGATCTATATACTCAGTATCTCCGTGACTTTGACATGGTTTACCATCTGGGAGAGAAGCCAGTTGAAGGCCGATGTCCGGTGGCCAGTTGTGGCTATTTATTAGAGATGTGAGCCTTATCTATAGATCTACATATATCCTTTACTGACGTTCCTGCAGGTTGAAAAAGCCTACGAGAAGCAACTATATCTATACTTGTGTTTGCCAAGAAGTTTCTCGTACTATGAGAATTCCTCTTCAACAGATCAAGTATTGTTGGGAGTGCTTTATCTTCTTTAATGGAGAGAGCCTAGAATTCGAAAGGTATTGCGCTAGCCATCTCTTATTAATGACTAGCCAGTATTACGAAGTGATGGTGTATCGCCATACCACTATCTAGGCCAGGTACTGTATCAAATGTATATGGGATGATAAACGGGCCGCTGCCCGCAGAATAAGAGCCTTTGAAAGAAGCCCAGAGCTAAGAGATCATTTGGAAGAGTATATTGAGCAAAAGTCATGGCTGTCAGTTTACTCCGATCCTCATTGTAACTATATCTCTACCAACGAATTGAATTACCATCGACACCTTCACGATATATACTATTATAACAAAACTATTTGTATACGATCCAAGAAGGCCAGTAAGAAACGGTTGTTCTTGATGTAGGACGAGGAGTCTACTCTAGACAAAGATTATTGTATATAGCTGAAACGCCCGCGCAAGTAAGGTAAGAAGTCTTCTATATCACCATCTACTGGTACGAAAGAATTGAAGATTACTTTCTAGGAACCTTCCGCGATGTACCTGAAGCCTATCTTATCTGTCTCTGCTCAGGAGGAAGATGAGGATTAAGAGAGTCTTAAAGGTATGGCTTGGTAAGCTGTCAATCACTGCCAGAGCTTGAATTTGTCTAGTATAAGCCAAAATTACCAGACGGCTCGATTGGCTATATTTGGCATATCTAATTTGACTGATAGCTTAAACAGCTGCTTAAGCCCTTTAATAACAAGCTCCACTTTCGGTGCGGTTTTTATCGACCTACGGATTTTAGAGACACCGACTGCTCTCTTGCGCCAGCCTGTTAAGGAAACTGAACAGTTCTCTGCACGTAGCCTAGGACTATATGTGGAAAGTAACTATGCTACTGAGCAGCTCAAGGGCAATACTCCGCTTCAAGAGCTCTTCGCAGACCTAGTTTAAGGAGGTGTAGATTCTCAAGGTGTGGCTATACCAGAGATAGATAATATAATTATTAAATATACCCCACTTTCTCCAATTTCTCTGAACGCGAAGCCAGTACCAAGTTTGATAGACTATAAGTCGAAGCTAATAGACGAAGCGGATTACACAATACAAAGCTCTTTAAATATACACGTTATCAAAGGTAGGATAGAGAAGGCTATAGAGTTAATAAGGCCTATAATAAGAGCTAAAGTTAAGGAGCTAGCGGCCAAGGTTTCTTAGAGATCTATAGACTTCTAAATTTTAGGTTAGAAAGCTAGGCCTTACAGTTAAGAAGAGGACAAGTTACTGAAGATATTTATACGGAAGTTAGCAACTTTCGAAGCGGTGACGCCAGCTTTTTAAAGGTGATTTCCAGGTCGGTCTGCGATTTCACTTCGGAAACGCTGATCTATTATACGATCGCCGTTGCGGTGGTCGATCCAATTAAAGTTTTTATAAGAAATTATATAATTCGATAGATTAAATATAATTACTTTTATAGGTGAATAAGCTTTTTATTTATAAGATTTATAGTGTTGGTGGTCGCTAGAGTTATTACCTAGTAAATAAAGTCTTGCTTTGCTAATAGAGATATATTAAGTAATTAAAAGTAGATATAATAATATTGATACCAACTCCTTCTCTGGGCTTGAAAGGAATTAAATTAATACTAAGGGAAAGCGGTAATCCTCCATGCGTGATAAGTATTTTAAAGCCCGATCAGTTATCTTATTCTAAGTGGGAGGTATCTAAATAGCTAGTGCCCAAGAAATAATAGGAAGTATAATATAGTCCAGTAAGACGGGTTAATATACTATACGTATGAAAAATGACACTGTTTAATCTATGGGACCTGACCTGGCTTATAAGTAAAGTAAGATTCCATTGGATACTAATATTATAATGAAGTGGAATATATTTAACTGGATGCTTTATATAAATATATTACAGTATATAATCTTTCCCTACAATATAGAATATTGCACCGCCACAAAACAAGCCTTATATTATAAAAAGTTCACGTGTTAAAATATACATTGTAAATTACTATTA